GTAAAATAGTTTTTTTATATGTTGCACACCGGGTGAAAAGTCAGTCGTGTAACATCGACGGTCGCTCCTGTAACATAATTCTTTATAAGGGGATTTAAATTAACATGAAGAAGTGCCGTCAAGGGAAAACCTATCATCGGGCTTTGTATCAGACATATTCTCTAATAAATTTAATAGATTGTGTCTGGACGAAATCTAATTGAATGCCCGATGACAGAATTTCTCTTGACGGCACTCATATGATTCCTTTATAAAGGGATTTAAATTAAGCATGAATAAAAATAGTAAATAACAGTCACGAAGAAAATGTTATAACCTGTATTTACCAAATAAACTTCCCCATTTTATAAGCAATAGCCGATCACGTCATTTAACCTGCATCAATCGAGAATATTATCATTATTAATCGTGTGAATTTGAAATTCAAATAATTCACTATATCGATCAAGAAATGTTTGTTTAAGACTTAAAAAATGTTTAAGACTTAGCCAGAGTAAATAAACTGAGTGCTTGTTGGTAGCCAGAATGTTTGTGAATTGGATATCGGTAAAGTGACTGCAATCTATTAAAAGAACATTATGCCAAGCAAAAACTAGAAATAACGATTTATTTAAACCCTGAATTATTAATTTAAAACGAAATTTCTAGTTTTCACTTGGCGTCAGTTTATAATAGAAAAAGTTTGCAACAGCATAAATACCCTTACCAATTAGATTAGAATTTATATTATTGTACTTCTATAAAAGTGATTATTAAATAAAGTAAAAGTGCAATTTGTTTTAAATGAATACTTAGTCTTACCTATATATTTGTAAAATGTCTGAAAGGTCGTCACAAAAAAGATCAAGGACAGCTGTTAGTGATTATTTAAAACGAGAAATATGTGAATATAGTCAAAGCCATCCTCATGTAAAACAATTAGATATTGCAAACTATTTTAATTCCCAAGATCCCAATTTAAATTTAGATCGAACTACAATTTCTAAGATTTTAAAGGATAAATCAAAATGGTTAGCAGTTGCGGATGATCAATTGAGTTCTATGACTTTTCGACATAAGCAAGTGAAATATCCTTTATTGGATCAGGCAATGAAACTCTGGATTGAACAAGTTACTAATAGAGAAATAATTATAACAGAATTAATGATCAAAGAAAAAGCAACAAATTTCGCAAAAGCTTTAAATTTGGGTGATGATGCCTTAAAATTTTCAAACGGATGGATTCATAAATTTAAACGACGTAATAATCTTAGAAATTTTCGATTACATGGTGAAGCGAATAGTGCACCATTATCTTCACTTCCAGAACATAAACAAAAATTACATGGCTTAATTGAAAAATATACATTAGATAATGTATTTAATGCCGATGAAACGGGGCTCTTCTTCCGCATGGCGCCAGATCAAACACTTGCATCTCGATCAAGACCTGGTTTTAAAAAGGCTAGTTTAGTATGGTTATTATTAAGCTCTAATAAATTTAAAACTTTTATCATATTGAACAGCATGACTTTGAATGCCACTAAAGCTGCCATTTGAATTGTTATTCAACACTAGCACTTACCGTGGATATGCATATCCGTGAAATCATGTGCTAGTGTTGAATGATAGTTCAAATGGCAGCTTGAGTGGCATTCAAATCATGCCATTCAACATGGTAAAAGTTTTAAATTTTACCAGTAAAGTTTAATATCAATTATTATTTTTAAAAATTTAATTTTTTTATTATTAGGATCGTTCACGAATTACTATTATGCTGGCATGTAATGCAACCGGAACTGAAAAATTGAAACCATTAGTAATTGGATCATCAATTTCTCCTCGTGCGCTTTTTCGCATTAATTATGATTCCTTACCTGTTATTTATCGTGCAAATTCTCGAGCTTGGATGCGAAATGATATATTTTCTGAATGGTTAAAAAATTTAGACCAAAGATTTCGCATTCAAAATCGTCAGGTCTTGTTACTAGTGGATAATGCCTCTTCACATTTTCATGACCAATCTAATATTGCTAACATCGAGGAATTACGTGAATCAGATGAATCAAATTCTAATTCAGAAGAAGAAATATCTGATAATGATTTAGAACCTGAAATATCAACCACTTTGCGTGGAAATCGCCGAGGTAGACCAAGATTAACCCAAACTAGTCAAGGTTCAAACAATAGTAATCATGGTAATCATGGTAATCGTGGTAGTCATGGTAATCGTGGTAATAGTGGTAGTCGTGGTAGTCGTGATGGTCGTGGTGGTCGTGGTACTGGTGGTAGTATGGGCCGTTATAGTAGTGGCTATGGCCATCCATGTCCTATACCTGATTATTCTAATGTACGATTAACTAACATTAAGCTTGAATTTTTACCTCCAAACACGACAGCCCACCTTCAGCCCATGGATGCGGGCATCATTAAAAGTTTCAAA